TTATAGATTGAATAGCAGTTAGTTGTCTCAAAGCGGGTGTGTCAGCCCTGCAGCGTGTACTCTGCCAACCTCTGCCAGTTCACAGTGCCACTCATATCTGGTGTCACAGTAGCTTGCACGCATAGTACCACTAATCGAAAAAAAAATGACAGGCAGAGGAAGGCCACCCCTACACTGCGCATTGGGTAAACCTGCTGTTGGCTGCCAAGCATGGAATGCGTGGCTCTGCAGAGGAGTTGGTGACACAGCCACGACTTGCAGGCAGGCCTGCTGCCACCTCCTCTACTCCTCCTACTCCATCCTCTTCCATAACCTCCTCGGCTGAGTCCTCTTCTGCTGCTGCGTCTTGCTCCACATCAACGGATAGGGGACGTAACAGGGATTAAACTGATAAGAATAGTACTACTTAACACACCACTCCTATCTGGTGGCACATTAGATTGCACGCGCAGTGCCCCAAATTTGAAGTAGGAGGACCAACCAAGCATCTTTTTCAATCTCCCGGTTCCTAAAATCGATGCCATATACACGTCCCCTGTTGGGGACGTAACAGGGATTAAACTGATAGGAATAATACTACTTAACACACCTTATAATAACGCAGAGAGAGGCAACGCAGAGAGAGGAGTCTGAAGAAGAGAAGTCAGAGGAGGAAGGTGGCTTTGAGGAGGTGGAAGACCAAACACAGCAGGTGTCCCAGGGGGCTTGTTGTCACCTTTTGGGGACCCTTGGTGTTGTACGTGGCTGGGTGGAGGAAGAGACCTTCAATGACATCAGTGAGGACAAGGAATGGGACATGGCTAGCTTGGTATCCAACCTTGTGCAAATGGGGAGTTTGCGGTTGTTTGCGGTGCATTAAACGGGGAGTTTGGTCTGTCACTGTGAAGCGGGCGTAACCCTTACACTACCTGATCGATACAACATCATACAGTAGGTCCCCCCCCCCTCATTATTTTTATGGCCCCCACCCACCGCTCACGGGTGGGGGCGGGCGGGAGGACAGTAGGTCACCCCCTTATCCTTATTTACTGAATATTCCCCTGTATAACAAAGTTTGGCATTTAGTGAATATTCTCTATTCTACTCTGTGTCAGTGTGTATCAGGGATCCTTAGGATAGGTGTCAATCCATATCTGCCAAGTGACCCTATGTAGGGGTAACATTCCCTATTCTGCTCTGTGTCAGTGTGTATCAGGGATCCTGAGGATAGGTGTCAATCCATACCTGCCAAGTGACCCTATGTAGGGGGAACAGTCCCTATTCTGCTCTGTGTCAGTGTGTATTAGGGATCCCGAGGACAGGTGTCAATCCATATCTGCCAAGTGACCCTATGTAGGGGGAACAGTCTATATTCTGCTCTGTGTCAGTGTGTATCATGGTCTCTGAGGACAGGTGTCAATCCATATCTGCCAAGTGACCCTATGTAGGAGGAACAGTCTCTATTCTGCTCTGTGTCAGTGTGTATCAGGGGCTCTGAGGACAGGTGTCAATCCATATCTGTCAAGTGATCCTATGTAGGGGGAACAGTCTCTATTGTGCTCTGTGTCAGTGTGTATCATGGTCTCTGAGGACAGGTGTCAATCCATATCTGCCAAGTGACCCTATGTAGGAGAACAGTCTCTATTCTGCTCTGTGTCAGTGTGTATCATGATCTCTGAGACAGGTGTCAATCCATATCTGCCAAGTGACCCTTTGTAGGAAAACAGTCTCTATTCTGCTCTGTGTCAGTGTGAATCATGGTCTCTGAGGACAGGTGTCAATCCATATCTGCCAGGTGACCCTATGTAGGGGGAACAGTCTCTATTCTGCTCTGTGTCAGTAACTATCATGGTCTCTGAGGACAGGTGTCAATCCATATCTGCCAAGTGACCCTATGTAGGGGGAACAGTCTCTATTCTGCTCTGTGTCAGTGTGTATCATGGTCCCTGAGGACAGGTGTCAATCCAAATCTGCCAATTGACCCTATGTAGGAGAACAGTCTCTATTCTGCTCTGTGTCAGTGTGTATCATGGTCTCCGAGGACAGGTGTCAATCCATATCTGCCAAGTGACCCTATGTAGGGGGAACAGTCTTTATTCTGCTCTGTGTCAGTGTGTATCATGTTTTCTGAGGACAGGTGTCAATCCATATCTGCCAAGTGACCCTATGTAGGAGGAACAGTCTCTATTCTGCTCTGTGTCAGTGTGTATCAGGGGCTCTGAGGACAGGTGTCAATCCATATCTGCCAAGTGACCCTCTGTAGGGGGAACAGTCTCTATTCTGCTCTGTGTCAGTGTGTATCATGGTCTCTGAGGACAGGTGTCAATCCATACCCGCCAAGTGACCCTATGTAGGGGGAACAGTCTCTATTCTGCTCTTTGTCAGTGTGTATCAGGGATCCTTAGGATAGGTGTCAATCCATATCTGCCAAGTGACCCTATGTAGGGGGAACAGTCCCTATTCTGCTCTGTGTCAGTGTGTATTAGGGATCCTTAGGACAGGTGTCAATCCATATCTGCCAATTGACCCTATGTAGGGGGAACAGTCTCTATTCTGCTCTGTGTCAGTGTGTATCATGGTCTCTGAGACAGGTGTCAATCCATATCTGCCAAGTGACCCTATGTAGGGGGAACAGTCCCTATTCTTATCTGTGTCAGTGTGTATGTAAGGAAACAGTCTCCTATTCTGCTCTGTGTCAGTGTGTATCAGGGGCTCTGAGGACAGGTGTCAATCCATATCTGCCAAGTGACCCTATGTAGGAGAACAGTCTCTATTCTGCTCTGTGTCAGTGTGTATCAGGGGCTCTGAGGACAGGTGTCAATCCATATCTGCTAAGTGACCCTATGTAGGAGGAACAGTCTCTATTCTGCTCTGTGTCAGTGTGTATCATGGTCTCTGAGGACAGGTGTCAATCCATATCTGCCAAGTGACCCTATGTAGGGGGAACAGTCCCTATTCTGCTCTGTGTCAATATGTCATATGTCAGGTATCAATCCATATCCATTGTGATTTAGGAATGTTAGGTGATTTCTGCCCTTTATGGATTAAGACCAGACTCTGCATCAACTGTGTAATTTTCCATGGGAGTTTTGCCATGGATCCCCCTCCGGCATGCCACAGTCCAGGTGTTAGTCCCCTTGAAACAACTTTTCCATCACTATTGTGGCCAGAAAGAGTCCCTGTGTGTTTTAAAATTCGCCTGCCCATTGAAGTCTATGGCGGTTCGACCGGTTCGCCAGTTCGCGAACATTTGCGGAAGTTCGCGTGCGCCGTTTGCGGCGAGCTCCGGTCAGCTGACACATCCCGGCCAATCTCCAGCAGACCCTCCCTCCCAGACCCTCCTACCTCCTGGACAGCATCCATGTTGAAGGGTCTCAATAGTCCGCAAAAAAGAAAGGCTTTAATAGAGATGATTAAAGAGGAAAGAATACAAGTTTGCTTAATACAAGAGACCCATTAGGTGGAATCTAATAAAGAATATTATTTAGGGAAGCAAACTGCTTTTGTGATTAAAGCTTCTATGAAGGTAGGGAAAAAGAGTGGAGTAGCTATCTGGATTGGGAAAGATATAGTTTGGGAAGTTTTGTATCAGGAAACTGACCCAATGGCTAGATACATTATATTGATTTGTAAATTAAATAATGAGATATACACTCTAGCTAATATTTATGCTCCTAATTCGGGGCAAGTGGCTTTTGTAAGAGAAGTATTAGATAAAGTAGATAAAATCTCAAGAGGTAAGGTGATACTGGCTGGAGACTTTAATTGCGTTTTGGACACGGAATGGGACAAAAGAACGAAAAAAGGGGTCAAAATAGATACAGCTTTACAGCGCAAGGCGAAAGCCCTTTCCACTGTTGTGAAAAAGTCTGCTTTATATGATGTCTGGAGAATTTTCCATTCCCAGGAATATGATTTTACGCATTTTCGTATAGACATTGCTCTTATGCTAGAATAGACATGTTGCTATGTAATATAGCATTAGTAGGGTCCATTAAAAAAGTATTAATCAAATCAATAATATGGTCAGACCATAATGCGGTAATATGGGAAATACGTCAGAAACAGAAACAAATTTATAGACAATGGAGATTAAATGAATCACTTTTGAGAAGCGAAGATAATAAAGATTATATTGCCAAAATGAGAGATTACTACTTCTTAGAGAATAAAGATTCGGAACCTGGGAGTAGGTGGTTAGCATAAAAGGCGGTTATAAGGGGCCATTTTATTAAGATAGGAGCATATGAGAATAAAAAAAGAAGGAATAACCTAGCAGATATGTATATTTCTTTATATAAACTAGAAAAAAGTAATAAAGAATCTCCAACTAAAGAAAAGGCAGAACAAATTCGAATAAATAAGAACAATCTCAATGCTCTAAATATGAAACGGATAGCCAATAATTTGGAGAAATTAGAACAAAAATGGTATATGAAAAAAAATCGTATAGATAGAATGCTGACCAATCAACTAAAGAAACAGCAAGCTGTTTTCCAGATTGACAAAATAATACATAAAGATAAGATATATAGAGCCCCTAATGATATAGGCCGGATATTTAATGATTATTACAAAGCTTTATACAATAGTGCGGATACTACTCAAATAGGGAATTTGGCAGATTTTATTAAGGGTCTTAATATTCCTACTATTAATAAAAAACAACAGGAAGTAATAGATAGAGCTATTGAGGAGGCAGAGGTCGCAGAAGCCATTGACGCTCTGAAGAAAAAAAAAGCCCCAGGACCTGATGGATTCAGGGAATCCTTTTATAAAATCTTTAAGAATAAAATCGTAACGGAATTGACCTCAGCCTTCAATAACTTTAGCAGGCTGGCTAAATGTCCAGCGGAATTTCTTGCAGCTAATATTCTTCCTATCCCCAAACAGAATAAAGACCCTTCTTATGTAAAAAATTACAGGCCGATATCCCTAATTAATACAGACACAAAAATTTTATCATCAATTATCGCTGTTAGATTAAAAAAAGTTGTGAAATTAGTTGTTTCTAAAGACCAAGTGGGATTTGTCCCTGGACGTAGTTCAGTTAATAATATCAGGAAAATAGTGGATATCTTGGATTTGGCGAAAAAAGAACATAAAGAATTGGCTATCCTTGCATTAGATGCAGAAAAAGCCTTTGACCGGGTTGAGTGGGGCTTTATGATGCAGATTTTAAAACTATATGGCTTTGGTGAACAGCTGTGCAATGTGGTCAAAGCTTTATATAGTGCCCCTATAGTCAGAACTATAGGACAACATATTTGTGCTGATTGGTTTCCCCTTGGCAATGGGACCAGACAAGGATGCCCATTGTCACCTTTGCTTTATATCCTAACGATAGAAATTCTAGCAATTAAGATAAGAGCAAGCAACAGTATACAGGGATACCCTTTATCTAAAGGAGAAATAAAGGTTATAATCCTTATAAATCCCTGCCTGCTTTACTGGAAGTGATCAAGGCTTATTCAATATTTTCCAACTACAAATTAAACATAGATAAAACTGTAATCATGGGGATCAATCTAGATGAGACATCTAAAGTAGCTATGCAGCAAAACTATGATCTATTATGGACAGAAAATGATTTTAATTATTTGGGAATTAAAATTTCACCGGATGTAAACAATTTAATGGAAGCAAATTTCATGGCTGTACTGAAAGAGATGAATTATATACTTAAAGGATGGAATACTATGTTTATATCATGGTTTGGTAGGATCAATGTGATAAAGGCTTATATTATCCCTAAATGCTTATACATATTTAGACATCTTCCCATCCAAATACCGGATAGTTGGTTAAATATGGCTCAGAGGAGCATTTCTAAATTTATCTGGCATGGTAAAAAACCGTGAATAAACTACCGTCATATGGCATATAAAGTAAATGAGGGGGGGTTGGGTATGCCTATTTTTAAAAAAATTATTATTATGCAAATATGATC